TTGTATACCCGAGAACAGGGAGAGGCGCTGCTGGAGAAAAATATATTCTTGTCCAAGAACACAACGCAGAGACCCAGCTAGGTGTCTGCGGCTGACCTTTCAATCCTGAAATCTAGTGCGCTAACCTCAATGTTGCTGCTATTTTCTGTTTTTAAGGAAACAGGAAATGAACTTTTTGAAATTAATGACAAAGACAGATAACGTTTGACGAAAGGTGTGAAAAATGTCTTTCCATAGGTTCTTCAAGACTTCCCTTCTGCTTGTGCAAACATTCCTTTCAAGTATTTATTTGACCTGATTCCACCAATTCAACCTCGAGCTTTTTCTATTGCTTCCTCTTTGAAGGTAAGAGTGACTGGATCCAGGAAACTGAATGTTATAAATACCTTTTAACAGCCCCTCCTAACGCGGAAGCATAGATATTGACAAAGACGTATCTTAAGCGTGCGCAGGTGAGAAAGCCGGAACGTCAGATCACCAGAAGTGAAAAAAGCGGATGCGAACGGAGAGGTTGACGTTTGAATTAAGCCTTTTCCCTCCTGGAAGAACTAATTTTTGAAATATTTTAAAAAGTTACCAACTTCCCATGAGATACCAACACATTCCTCCAGTTTTCAAGAAAATTTGCAGTTATTCTGCATTGAGTTGAGTACTCAACTGAATAACCATAGTAGAAATTTTGATCCCATCTTGACAGGTTCGTCCAGATGAAGTTCAATTACTGGTAGCTGTTGTAAACTACAAAACTAAACTTGTCAAACCAAGGCAAGGCCTGTGCTCCACGTGGCTGGCTTCCCTGGACCCTTTGAACAAAGATTGCCGTGTCCCTGTTTGGGTGAAGAAAGGAACTATATCATTTCCCAAGGCTTTAGATTCACCTATTGTCATGGTAGGCCCAGGTAAAAAGGAAACTTTCGCTGGTTTTTGAGGATACCTACATTGTAACATGATTGGTGAAACACGTTTGTCTTTATTCTTCTTATATTCGCATGCAAGAGTGTTTTTTGTTTTTTTTTTCTTTTAATGAGGCTATAGTCCTGTGTAGAACAAAACTGAGTTTTCCATTGATAAACTATTTATTTACCCGATTTCATTGACAAGATATCTCGCTTAACAGATGTCAGAGCTATTTTCAGAACAGTAGTCTCCATAACTTGCATTTGCTTTTAAATTATGCTCATGTTTATCCATGTCACTTTGAGAAAACTGCGTCTGCCCCCTAAAGAGATACCTTTTAGACATCAGCAGTGAATGCGCATTTTCGCTATTTACTTTGATTCGTTTTATTGACGACTTGAGACAGTGATTAGTTACACCTTAGACTTAATCATTTCATCACTTTGAGCTTGAAGTTGTTTGTTGGTATTTAAAACTAATGCATTGTTTTACACTCATTCTTTTTCCGACAGGTACTGGCTGTGCACCGTTCAGAAGTCTTATCGAAGAAAGGGTTTCACAGTCGGCCGGAGGTAAGCTAGGGTTTGTTTTAAAAGTTAGAGGAGTGATTGCATTAAGATATTCATGTCCTTATAACCTACATGTACGCAAGTGAGCCATTTGAGTAGCGCAGCCTTGTTATCCAATCAGTTAATTGAAATCATTGAATTTCTTCTGTAATTGCTTCTTTGAGGGTACGGTTCTGAAAAAAGAAAAAAATTATGTTCGGTTTCCGATAAACTGACGTTTCCACAACCTACCCAGAAGTCGTCTTAAGAAAAAAACAATACTAAAAAAAATGATGAAGTTTGAACATCTGATTCACGAAAGCTGATTTTTCAGTTTTGCTAGCTTAGGTAAGTTGGAATGGATCCGTTTTGATCGGAGGTAGAATCAGGTCACTTTGTAGGGTCAGTCTTTACCCCTCTAGTTATCATTGTTGTCACTTCAGAAAGGGTACATTTTTTCTTTTGATTTAGCTTTGCAATTTTTCGCCGTTGAATTCCTTGTGGTTAGATTTTTTTTTTAATCAAGTGACAGTCTGTATTAGTTATATAATTCTGTTATCTTCTTGCAGGATGTGTACTGTTCTTTGGCTGTCGAAATAGTAGCAAAGATTTCTTTTTCCGAGACCAATGGCGTTTAGCGGTTGAAGATGGGAGTTTAAGGTTGTTCACTGCCTTTTCAAGAGATCAGGTAAGCAAACATGGGTGACTTGAAGCCCCCTTGGTACATGGACTCAGTAGCAGTTGATACCCGTCGCAAATCGCATATTTCACTCCTTAGACAGCGCGGCATATCAAATCATTCAGAAGCCTTAAATGGAAAGAACAAGAATTTTAGACTAAATTAAGTATCAACCTTAACTACTTTCTTTAACTAAAGAGCACAAAAAAATAAACGAAATTTTAACAATTTTTTGACCAGATTTTGTTGACAGTAGTCTTAATTGTGCGATAAAGCATTTACTTTTTCTTCCAGTCAGAAATTGGTTTATTTGGTATTAAGTTTCTGTGCTAATTTTACTCTCCAACAGTGATCTTTCGTCATCGTTTGTGCCATGCTTTCAAGGTAGATCAGTAGTATTCTATTTTTTCTACTAACTGTAATTAAGACGTAAAACTGTAAAAGCGAACGATAAAATCCGACGTTTCGGAGTAGTCATGACTACTCCGGAACGTCGGATTTTATCGTTCGCTTTTACAGTTTTATGTCGTAACTGTAATTAACCGTTTCAAAATGTTTCTTTATACAGGAAGAAAAGATCTACGTCCAGCACAGGTTACTGGAAAACAGCCCTCTCGTCTGGGATCTTCTGGTCAACAAGCAAGGATGTTTCTACATAGCTGGGTATGATAAATTCCCTTTCCCATCGGTATAAAGCTTTTCTATTTGGTTTTGTGCCCCATCGCAAGTTCGTCCCACTTAAGTTTAAATTTTCATTGTCTTTTTTTATTTAAAAAAAAAAAAAAAATCTGGCTAAAAAGAGTTGAAAGATAAAGGAGCGAACTCTGAAATGTGGGGGTGAACCTGGTTTGTTTTGTGGGGGCGAACTTTCAAACTTTCTAGGGTGTGATAATTCCAGGTACCCTCCCAGTTTACCTTGCCGATGTGTAATGGGCAAAATGCGAAAATTTTCTTCTTTTCTCAAAACTGAGGTGTTAGTTTTTTTTTTTTTTTTTTTTAACAAGGAGTCTTGTCAACGCCGAACGGAATTTGTTAGTGTCGGTGATCTGAAAAGAACACTTGTCAGGGAAAACGAAGATCTTCAGTGGAAGTTCTGGTCGAAGTCTCTTCGTTTTTAAATTTTTGCTGTAGTAAATTTTATCGAATAGCCTAAAACAGGGTAAGAACTATGCAAACGCAGCTTTTTGCTATGGAGAATCAGGATGGGCAGCTGTACCTTCGGACACTAGCGTATTCAGCTATCATTTTGTCATAACATGCGCATTTGATCAGAAGTAAATCGTGCGTTGAAATTATCCTGAAAAGAATTTGCTGAAAGTACGGCCTTAAAAAGAATTTCATCAGTAAAAAAGTTTTCGTTAGTGGACAGTAATGACAGTAAAATATCTGTGGATTTTGACGTTTGTTTCTATTTACGTTACGCACAGAAACTCTCAGCGGATGCCCACCGATGTTACCGATGCCCTTCTTGAAGTATTTATTAAAGAAGGAAAAATGGACAGACCCAAAGCCGAGGAATTTCTTAAAACATTAGAAAGTACAAGACATTTTCAGAGCGAAACCTGGTCATGATTCAAAGAGGTTTTCGACTCAGTCAGGAGGACAAATCTCATTTTACAACAGCTTAGGGACTGTATTTTTCTTAATTAGAATGGCGGATTAAAGAAAATTGTAAAAACAGAACTTCTGTTCTTGTGAACTCTTGACGACAGTTTAGTCCACTCCCAACATCCCTTACGTGAGTGAATAATTGACAATATTTTTATCAGGTAAGAAGCGAGATTGCTAGGCTTCAATGTTGCACTAATCGTTTCAAACAGCTTTATGTAGCAATGCGTAATTACGTCAAGTAGTTGGTTAGAAGACATAAATATTTTCATATTACTTTTATGGTGTCCAATCCAGATGATATATATCGTGATATATGGGCGCCTGTCTAACGAAGGATAATCTGTATTTATCGCGAACGTGTCTTGATTATTTGCCGGGAATGTATCAAATAACATTTAGTTTTTTTTTCGCGGGAGAATGTGAATGGTGGGGTAAAGAAAATTTACTCGGTGTACTCATAACAGTTTTAGGAAAGACGAGATATATTTATACAGTGCTTGGAAAAGCGCATGATGTTGAAAATCGGCTTTGTTAAAGGGTGGCGACTGAGAATTTAACAGTGTACCACCATTACGATCTTCAATTAATTCGCTTACGGCAAAATGGTTTGAAAACGTTCTTAGTATAGATAACTGAAATTTGTGTTGAATATATGGAAAAGGTAAGCATCGGCTTTCAGTTCGAAGCAAGGGTCAACAGGGTTAACTCACATGTCTGTATATCCCGCATGAAGTCTTTGTTTTGGCAGGTGAGGTTTTGCAAGGTTTGCCAAGCCGTCTTCGCTGGGTTATTTTTGTCGGCCAACTTTTCTTTAATATTTTACTTCCCTGTTGCTTAGCTTGTGAAGGCTGACACCTTTTCCTTTTGAGTTTTAGTGTGTATTTTGACATTCAACCACACGACAGTTCACCTCATTTCCGAACTGAGGAGTGTTAGAAATTGTTTCCACAAAGGTCAAACTGTTCAACAAGGACAAAGCACCGAATTAAGTTTGACTATTGCTACGTCACAACTGACATAATATCCAAGATGGCGTTTTTCTATGCACGAAAGTTGTAAAAATGGGCAACTTCAAAGCGCTCTTCTCGCTGATATAAAGAAAACTGGACAAAATGGCAGTTATTTTCGAACTCCTGAGGAAAAAGCTTTAAGGACAAGGATAAGGAACTTTATTCACACTCATTCTACTAAAAAACACAACAGCAAGAAAGTAAAAAAGTAAAAGTAAAAGAAGAGAGTTCTAACTATACGTGAAATTTGACAAAGTAGTGGAAAGAGTGTGTAGTAGCCAAAGGAGCCAAGCTTTCGAGTTGGCTACTACCATAGAGCAGTTACAGATGGGTGGAGGTTAGATACTTCAGAAGATGGTATATACACTATATATAGTTAAAATATTAACATCGAGCTATATGATATATTAGAAATGATCAAGATGTCTGCCCGCCAAGTAGGAAGAGTTTATATTCTTTTTTAAAGCTTTTGGCGGGGAGACATTATTTTAATAGGTATTCTAATTGAGATAACCTTTTTCTAGACCGTACTTTCCCCTTAATGCATGTTATCATTTTCAGTTGTCTGTTTGGACTTTAAACGCTGGTTTTCGAAGTTTGTAAATAGTTTTTAGTTAGTCTAATTGTAGTTTTCGTTACATTTACTTCTTAGTTTTCGAAACCGCTCAACACTCAATGCTCAACGCCCAGCGCTTTCTGACGGCTTTTCAATAGACACAGAAACGATCTCCAACATTTTTCATCGCTTCGTTTCAATTAACTCTGTTTACTTTTTTTCGGGAGAAAATTCCCCTGCGACATTGTCTTCAAAGAAACTAATTAGCAAAATACCAGCGGATAGTTAAGCAACACCATTTATTTATTCACAAGGTGTGACAGTTCGGTGTATATATAAGATTCGGCATATTCAAGAATTAGGTTGTTATTTTTCGGAGAGATTTCGAAAGCTACGTATTGTTTTAGTAAAATTAAACATGTTCTGCGAAACAACTTTGTTCACATCAATGTCGTCTCCAACTTTGTCTCTATCCGTTATGAAGCGCGTATCAGAAGTTCTGTTGTTAACGTGGGATTAAATGATTGCTTGTGAGAACGTTTCGCACTCACACAGTGCGAGGAACGCTGAAAAATGTTTACATTTTAGCAAAATAGCAGGCGGAACCTTTGTACTCATTGCTTCCCGACACCCCTTGAAACATTTGTAAACGCTCGAGTAACTTGAGAATCCCTCTGAATAGTATGGAGACTGGGAATTTCGTAATTCATTGAATCTACTCATTGATAACTGTCAGCTTGGTCGATTTTTAAAATGAGACCATGTTTGCAGAGCCATTGCCCACAGGGCAGACATTTTGTTGTTTCTATGTGATTGTTTTCTCCAAGTACAAAGCTCAAACAATAACAATCTAATTAGCCAATCAGATGTCACCTCATCTTTCAGTGTTACCCATCCTCGGAGACCTAGGGGCTGTGGGTCGATTTCAAGTTAGGGCATGAAAAGCCCCTGGGGACATTATCTTACAAGACTAGTTCCAAACGGTCACAGTCGTTCTGCCATCTGATAGGTACCAGAAAATCTTTGTGTTTTTCTGCCCAATCAGAGTGAAGTGTCCTTTGGAGTCCTTTCGTGTGTTGTAACACGGACAAATACTAATAGCTCAGTTGCTCGCTATGCTGTGGGCCGTGCGACGGGGATTTGCGTGAGGTGAAAAGTTTCAGTCTCAGCACACAATGTAAGAGAAATCGATCAAAATCTTACCGGAAATTATACTGAATAGTTTCGCAGGTATCACTAGAGAACGTGTTTTAAAGTTTGCGAGGTTTGTATACAACACGATGGTGGCAGTCATTGATATGTCGTCGCTTTAAACGTTAACCGAGATTTAAGCTTACATCTTTTCTAGATTTTTTGCATAATTTGCTGTGACTGAAACTTTGCCCATCCCGTGAAGTTATTTCGTCGCACGGGCCACGCAGGTATGTCGAGCAAC